GCCCAGGCAGGTCTCAAACCCGTGGGCTCAGGCAATTCACTCACCTCAGCCTCCCAAGGCACGGGATTACAGGCTGAACCACCGAGCCCGGCACTTTCTTTTTCTAAGTCTCAGTTTCCCCGCCTGTACAATGGGGCCCAGGAAGTTGAGTGGACCAGAGAGATGGTCCTGAGGGCTGGAGCTCTGTCTGACATTCCAAGACTGACCCCACAGCCCAACGACCAGGCCTCCTCCTCCCCCCGGCATCCCGTGTATTCTGAGCATCCCTGGCCTGAGCCAGCCCGCCTGGCAGGCCACCCCACACCCCTCTGCAGCAGGGCTTCCTCCCAGCCCCCACTCACTGCTAGTTCTGCCCAACCATTCTGCCTCTATCTCAAGTATTCCACTGCCCACTCAGGGCCCACAGACCCTTCACACTTTGGCCAGCTGGGAGGCCGTACTCACTCCTGCTCTTGGCCCTATTCCTGTCCTGAAAAATGGCATCGTCCCCTCAGCACGCAGCCACCTGCCCCCCACTATTCCAGGCCAGAAATGGGTGCGGGCTCTGGCGATTCTCAGCTGAGTACGTCTTGATCCGTCTGTTTCTCTCAGGCCCCATGCCCTCCCCCAAGGCCCCACCAAGCACACCCATGGTCAGGTGGCATACGGTCATACCACCTCTCATCAACCTCTGTTCTACCCCTTTGGTTCTGGTTCCAGCAAGTTTCTTTCTTTTTTTTTTTGTGAGTTGGAGTCTCACTCTATCGCCCAGACTGGAGTGCAGTGACTGTTCCTGGCCACCGCAGCCTCGACCTGCTGGGCTCCGGTGATCCTTCCGCCTCAGCCTTCCAAGGAGCTGGAATTACAGGCGCGCGCTACCATGCCCGGCTAATTTTTTGATTTACTGTAGAGATGAGGTCTCACCAAGTTGCCCAGGTGGGTCTCGAACCCACGGGCTCAGTCAATCCACTCACCTCAGCCTCCCAAAGTGCGGGATTACAGGCTGAGCCACCGAGCCCGGCTCTAGCAAGTTTCTTGAGTGCTGTTTCCCCATGTATGAAATGGGAATGACCATTGCATCTACTCCACGGAGTTGACAGGATCAAGTGAATCATATATGTCAAATGCCCAGAACGGCCCCTAGTGCAATCAATGGTGTGGTCAGTGCGTAGCATGCCAGCTCTCCAGCTTGTCTGTGATGCATGGGAACATGTGTTCAGGTGAGTTTGGGGTTCTGGGGGCTATTGTACGTTGTATGTTGCTGTTGTTTGCTGTGTGTGCCAGGGACACCTGTGATCTGCTGCACACAGTGCCTCTCCAGTGGACACGTGGGAGAGCACTCAGGCAACGCCTGTGCTTTGTGTGCATGTGCTGGCACGGTGGGACTGTGTGCACACGTGCCTTAGGTTTCGAGCCTGTGAGAGGCCTGTTGCACACGTATGTGTTTCAGAGGAACGTGTGAGCAAGCGTGCATATGCTTACATGTGCAGGCCCCAGCCATGCAGGCCCCTCCTTGCTGCCGGTGTCGTGGGAGCCTCAGGACCCCGAGGGGGGAGCTGCTGCTGGCGGATGTGGCCAAGATGGATGGATTTATTTAGATTAAGGCGGTGGGAAAGACTGGAGGGTTGTACGTGCTGGGAGGAGGGAGGCTGGGCTCTGAGAGTGACACCCAAGCATGCATGCTCCCCTGGTCTGGGGCCCTCTCTACTCCCCTGGAATTGGGGACCCCATTTTACTTCCCTGGACTTGGGGCCCCTGCTCTGCTCCCTGACTTGGAACCCCCACTCTGCTTCCCTGGACTTAGGGCCCATTCCCCTCCTTTATGAGTGCCCCTAGTCACTGTGAAGAGCTGGGCTCGCCCCCTCTTGGACCACTGACCCTCCTGCCTGGCCAGTATAGGAGGAATCAGGAGACTTCCTGACGCCCAGCTCTCTTTTCATGGGCTAAGGGGGCACCCTGGGGTCCCTTCCTTTTTTCTGCTTCAGGGCCCCCAAGGGCAGAAGAGTGCAGCAAGTGAGGGTGCCTGCTCCCTGAGTGTGACACCCTGGATGACTCAGTGGCTCCTCCCCGGAGCACAGAGCCCTGAAGAAAGAATGTTGTCACATAAGCCTATCTCCCCAAGGCAACTCTCCAGGCCTTCTGGGGTTGGCTGGAGCTGGAACTGACTCTGAGCCATTGTGTGAACAGCTGGAGTGTCAGAGAGTCACCCAGGATGGCCCAGGAGGTTCTCGCTGGTCCTCCAGCCTGTCATCTATGCCACCCCTCCACCACCATCTCCCAGGGCTCCATATCACTGGTTCATTTGACCAGAAGCCACCTGAGAGATGGCTGTCTAACTCCTAATTGTGTAGATGGGGAAACTAAGGACCAGAGAGGAAAACAACTCATTGAAGCCTACACAGGAAGTCTGTGACCCAACAGTCAAGGAAGTCTCATCCATGGAATGAGATGTGTGACAGATTCTCATGCCACTGACTCAGGAGTGCAGCCCCCTCCTCCTTAAAACACCCCAGTTAGGATAATGGTGACTAGAACCTTCTCTTTGGCCAGTCAAAAAGGCAGAACTTTAGCACAGGGATAGCTCATTGAGATGACCTGTTTGAACCTCCCCGAATAGAGGGGAAAGAATCCAGAGACCCTCTCAGTCCTATAGTGAGTCTGAGGACCATGGTGAGGAGAGCCGAAACACTCGTTTCATAAAGAGCAAGGCCAGCCGTGACCCCTGGGTGCTCCTCACGGCATCTACATGCGTCCCAAGCTCATTTGCATGGTCTATCTTCACCCCATAGCCTGAATCTAACTTTTTGCTGTGTGACTGGGGCATAATTCTATCCCTCTCTGGGCCTCTGCTGACCATTCAAGGGTCTCTGCTAGCTCGGTGTCTTAGAGACGATAAGCCACCCTAGCCCCAAGCCCCACAGGAGAGGATGGAGTGCCCCTCGGGACAGGGTCGGGGCTGCATGCCATGAGGGCCCAGCCCACAGCCAGCCAGCCTTCCAGAGCCAGGCCAGCCCTGCTGTGGTGACCTCCCCTCTCCTGGCCAGCCGACCAGATTCCTCCTTTAGAATAATAAACAGTGCGGCTGGCCAGGGAGGTTGAAACGACCCCTCCCCCATCCTTGCCGCTAATGATTTTCTTTGGCTGAGATCTCTGGCAGGAAGCGGGGAGTTGGGGGCACCCTCCGAGGGGTAGATGGGCCTCTGTGGGGGCTGCTGGCTCCGCCTGGGCGCGACTCCCTCCTGCCTGTGGAGGCCTGGTATCCAGCTGGAGGGGCCGGGGCAGAGAGCTGGGATGGGGACGCTGTGTGGGAGGCGTCCAAAGGACCGGGCTCTGAGTCTGCAGCATTTCGTAGACGGGAGAGGAGGAAACAGGGGGCTCTCGGCCAGCGCGTCTGCAAGGCGGGGAGTGGGAGCCGGATAGCAGATTGGCTCAGGTTGTGTCTCGGGACATTGGGCAGAGCTAGGACTGAAAGTCCACAGGCCGGCCCGGCCTCGGGCCTCCCCTAACGTGTGGATCGCAGCCCTTGTTCACTCCAAAGCCCAAGATCAGCCACCAGGGCAGCAATGGCACGAGAGGATCATGTGTCGGGCTCGAACCTGCTCCCGAGCCCTGGACTGGAAGCTGGAGGAGCGCGACGGGGAGGCGGGGGCCAGCTGGGCACGGCCCTAGGCGCTGGCCAGGCTGGGCAGCCCACAGCACAGGAGGCTCCAGATTGGCTTATCGCGCAGTCACTTCCCTTCATGCCTCTCTGCAGCTCCAGACCCACCTCTGGCCTCTTCCTGCCCATGCTGCTGGCTGGCCCTGGCATACCTGACTCTTGGTGTCATGTAGGGTCTGAGGGGTGGCTGCTAAAGCAGGAATAAAGCAAAGACGCCCCCAGCTCAATCTGTCTCTGCTTGTTCTTCTTTCTCTGGGTGCCTCTGACATGCCGTCTTTGTCCCTCTGCTTCTGTCATTCCAGGTTCTGTCTCCTTCTCCGACAGGCTCTGCTGAGGAAACTTGATTGTGCTTCTTTCTCTCTCAGAGCCTCAGTTTCCCTATCCAGACCCACGGGTGGGGTGAGCAGCTTGGCTTAGTGGTTCTCAAGGACCTTTGAAGCCTGGCTGCTGGAAGGGGCCTCTCTAGGCCCACCACGGCCCCTCTCCCGTGGGCCCCTCATGCTGCTCTGGCAGAGTAAAGGGGGCCAGGCCCACCCCCACATTCCACAGCCCTGACTCCCCACTTCCCTTCCCACAGCCCCCGGCTGCCTCCACTTCCTGTTGTGCTTCGGAGCTGTGGGAGTTCTCTGGGCTCAGGCCCCCCCCCCCCCCCCGGCCCCCCCCCCCCCAGGCCTTTCATCACACTTTCCCAAATATTTGTCCTGGCAGATAAGAGCCTGGTATTGGAACTGTCACCCGGAGAACGGGCTGTCAGAGCTGGCGGGCCCTGGACACCGTCCAGCTCAACCTCTCCACCCCACTGTCATACAGGGAAACTAAGGCCCGAGAGAGGCCAGGGACCCCAGCAAGGTCACATGAGAGTTAGAGCAGAGCCAGAGCGGGGTCCAAGCACCCCGAGGCCGAGCCCCGGACAGAGAGGAGCGGACCCGTGGTCAGGAGTGCCCTCTCAGCCTTGGACTTCAGCTCGGGCACGAGGCAGGATGGCCCAGGCTGGGACTTACGCTGCAGGAGGCAGGTGCTAAGACAGGTCTGGCACACTGCGGCCCGTCCTGGGCCTGACCCCTGTTTACCTCTGCAGGACTCACCATGAGGCTTCTGGGTGCGATGCCAGCTCTGGTCCTCAAAGGTAGGTCGACTGGAGGCAGGAATAGGGCCCGGGGAGCTGCCAGATGGGATGCTGGAGCTACAGTGGTGGTGGAGGCTGGCAGCAAGGTGTGAGAGCCTGTTTCCTGTATCTTCAGTGGACCTTGGCCAGGCCTCCTCCACTGCCTCAGATGGTGCCAGGGGACCCCTATTGTCCAGAACCATCAGCTCCACTCCTCTGCTGGACCCTCCAGACCCACTCACTCTCCAGCCCCCTCCAGGCCTCCACCTCTCCCCCGTCTGGCCAGACCCCTGGTTGGCTAGAGTTCCTGAGTCCCCACTCAGAAGTTCCCACTCAGAAGGCTTCTCTCAGCAGCCTCCACTCCCGCCTGGCACATCTTCAGCTCTCCAGAGGCCGGTGCTGAATGGCCTGCCCGACAGCCTGGTGTGGGATGGACTGCCTGGCGGGAGCCCTCCTACCTGTGCCTTTCTGATGGTCATCTCCAGGGAGCGTGGGGGCATGGCTCACAGAATCCTTCCCCAGGAAATGGCATGGCGGGGACCGATCCTTTCACACACCCCCAAGCCCAGCCCCCTTCAGCCCACAGGGACCTCAGTCTGCCCCACTCTGAGCTACCTGAGATCCCGCTCCCTCCCCGGCAGGGCTGCCTCTGGGCTTTGGTGGAGGCAGTCACAGGGAAGGGGCTCAGAAAGTGACCTGGGAAGTGATGCAGGAACTGGAGGCCAGAGAATTGCTTCCCGAGGATTTCCTGGCCCCTCTCCTGCCTCCTGCCGTCACGGCTCTGCCAATGGGCTCTGAGACTAGAGTCTGGAGGAACTGAGTCAGGCGGTCGGGGGTATCCCCGGGGCCTGGCACTGGGCGAGGTCTCAGGGCCTGGGCAGGGGGTCCAGTCTGTGTTGGAGAAGGGAGCACGTGGGTCTGTGCTTGAATGGCCTCCCCCAGGGCCGCTCTGGTGCTGCGGCCCCGCACCCTGATGCCGATCCTCCCCTCCTAAAGGCCAGCTGCTGCTGCCCCTGCTGTCGCTGCTGGGACCACAGGTCTCTGGAGACCTGATCATCGCACCCCCGGGGCCAGAGCTTGTCCTCAACATCTCCAGCACCTTCATCCTGACCTGCTTGGGTTCAGCCCCGGTAGCGTGGGAGCGGCTGTCCCGGGAGCCCCCGCAGGACATGGCCAAGGCCCAGGATGGCACCTTCTCCAGCATGCTGACACTGACCAATGTCACCGGGCTAGACACGGGAGAATACTTCTGTGCCCACAGTGGTGCCCGTGGGCTGGAGCCCCGTGAGCGGAAGCGGCTCTATATCTTTGTGCCAGGTGAGGGGCTGGCCAGCGTGCCCACTCACCAACCTCAACTGAAGGCGTGGGGGTCTGGCAGAGCTCGAGTGAAGGGGAGTGCAGATAGGCAGGCAAACCCTGGGGTCCCGGTTCAGCCAGGCCTGCACTCCCTCCCACTCCTTGGTCTGGGTCTGTTTGCTTCCTGCCCCCAAAGAGCCCTCCAGCCTGCCCCTCCGCCCCCCATCCCGTCCCCATCCTGCAGGCTCTTCAGCGTGTGGCTTATCTTCTTCCCTATTCCGGCATTGCAGGCATCAAATGCCAGGGCTAGAAGGGACCCCTAGGAGCATTCTTATCCTGTAATGGAGAGGCCAAGTGCCAGAGGGGGTGGAAGACTTGCTCAAAGTCACACAGCAATTCAGGGAAGTCAGAACCCAGGTCCCCTCCCCTCATTCATGGCTCCACCCAGCAGATCCCACCATGGGCTTCCTCCCGAATGAGGCCGAGGAACTGTTCATCTTTATCACGGACATAAATGAGGTCACCATACCGTGCCGAGTGACAGACCCGCAGCTGGTGGTGACGCTGCATGAGAAGAAAGGTGATATCGCGATGCCTTTCCCCTACGATCACCAGCGTGGCTTTTCTGGCACCTTTGAGGACAGAAGCTACATCTGCAAAACCACCATTGGGGACAGGGAGGTGCATTCCGATGCCTACTATGTCTACAGACTCCAGGGTGAGCTCCCTTTCTGGCCCGGCGCCCTTCTCGGAGGCACAGCCCTTTACAGTTTACAAAGCGTACAGCCGCGTTGCTCATGGGAGTCTCGCTACAGCCTTGGAAAGGAGGTTGTGCTCTCCCATTTATAGATGGGGAAGCTCAGCTCAGAGAGGATGGAGTCTGCCCGCGGTCATGGGTGTTAGTGGTGGCGCTGGGCTGAATGACATGGTAGGATAGGCCCAGGCTTTGGAGCAGGCTTTCAATCCCAGCTAAGACTTTACACAAAGCACATAATCTCTCCAACCCTGTCTTCTCCTCTGCAAAGTGGGGGTGAGAAGACTGCCTACCTCGTAGGATTATGATGAAGATTAAATAAAACAAAACATGGCAGGTACTTGGCACATGCTGCGTGCTCCATACATTTCCCCTGCACTTAGATACCCAGAGAGTACTCTGACTTTTAGACCGCACTAACAGAGTCAGCCCCGTAGAGACGAATTTTTTTTACTTCATTCACTGTGGTAGCCCCAGTGCCTAGAATAGTACTTGGCGTAGAGAAGGATTCAATAAATATGTTGAACGAATGAATTGTCTACACCAGCCAGCCCTTTCTCTCTGCACCCTGCTTCACCCCTGTACTGCAGTGTTGGTGGTAAGTGTGTTGAATGAATGAATCGTCTACACCAGCCTGTCCTTCCTCTCTCCAATAAATATATTGAATGAATGAATCGTCTATACCAGCCAGCCCTTCCTCTCTGCACCCCTGCCTCACCCCCGGGCTGCAGTGCTGGTGGTAAGTGTGTCGAATGAATGGTCTACGTCTACACCAGCTAGCCCTTCCTCTCTGCACCCCCTGCCCCACCCCCGAGCTGCAGCACCAGTGGTAACGCCCCCAGGCCTGAGCCACCCTCTGTCTACCAGTGTCATCCATCAACGTCTCCGTGAGTGCAGTGCAGACTGTGGTCCGCCAGGGCGAGAACATCACCCTCATGTGCATCGTGATGGGAAACGAGGTGGTCAACTTCCAGTGGAAATACCCCCGCGGGGAGGTAATGCTGGGCCAGGCAGGGTTGGAGGGTGGGCGGGGACGGCTGTCCCGACTGCAGCCCGACTGCTCACAGACCCCCTGATGCGAGGGCCTGCCCTGCAGAGTGGGCGGCTGGTGGAGCCAGTGACTGACTTCCTCCTGGACTCGCCCTACCAAATCCGCTCCATCCTGCACATCCCCTATGCCGAGCTGGGTGACTCCGGGACCTACATCTGCAACGTGACGGAGAATGTGAATGGCCACCAAGACGAAAAGGCCGTCAATGTCACCGTGCTTGGTGTGTGCTCGGGCTCAGTCCCAACTGCATCTGAGCGGGACCCAGAGCTTGTCACAGCCCGGGGCACAGCCAGTCACACCCCAGGGCAGCTCCCAACCGAAGCCTCAATTTCGGGGTGAACTCAAAATAAATGCAATGCTAGACCCCAATCCAATCCTGTCTCCATTCAGCCTTTCTGCGCAGCTGGAACCCCAACCCCCACCTGCTTTCTAATCCCAACGCCATCCTAGGCCCAGGCAACCCTGTCCACAAATTCAATCCCAGCCTTAAGCCCGCACTCCAAAACCGAGCCAGAACAGAGAACTACAACTCCAATCCCCACCCCGAGGCCCCAAGATCCACATCAGCCCCAAACCCGGCCTCCCCTCCAGGCCCAGCTGCTGTCCCAACTCAGCCCCGGCTCGGATGACTCCATCGAGTGTTGGGGTCCTAAAACCTGAAACCGCAACCCCCAGAACAGGCCCCAGGCCCGTCCCCAAACCGCCCAGGCCCCGCCCCTCACGTCTGCCCCTTTCAGAGAGCGGGTACGTGCAGCTGCTAGGAGAGCTGGACTCGCTGCAATTTGCTGAGCTGCACCGGAGCCGGACGCTGCAGGTGGTGTTCGAGGCCTACCCGCCACCCACCGTCCTGTGGTTCAAGGACAACCACACCCTGGGCGACTCCAGCTCCGGCGAGTTTGCCCTGTCTACTCGCAACGTGTCTGAGACCCGGTGAGCAGCCGCTCCCGCTCCGTTCCTGAAGCTGTTGTCTTTCCTGAGAGCCTGCGAGGTGCCAGGCGCTGGGGACGCCGCCAGAGCAGGCGGTTCATCCCTTCCAGTTTCTAGGCTTGGGAGAAACACGCGGGTCAGATGGTCATCCAGATGTTCAGTTATCCTTGTGACGGGTGGGGGCTGGCCTGCTGCCAGGAAGGAGACCAGATGCCTGGGGCAGAGGGTGCCAGGCAAGCCATCGCTCAGCCCGGAGGCTAGAGATCAGCAGGCTGACGGAGACTGTAACAAGTCAGGATAACCAGGGTCAGGCCCTCTTGGCTCAGTGGCTCTCCTTATTCAGGAGCCTGGGCTCGAGGCCTGCCTCCGCTACTGACACCTGTGTGATCTTGGCAGGCCACCCCCCATGGCTCAGATCTGTACCAGAAGGATGAGAGGTCTGTGAGAGTTCTTCTAGCCCTGACAGCTGTCCTTCCTGCTCCCCAGGTATGTGTCAGAGCTGACACTGGTGCGGGTGAAGGTGGCAGAGGCTGGCTACTACACCATGTGGGCCTTCCATGAGGATGCGGAAGCCCAGCTCTCGTTCCAGCTGCAAGTCAATGGTGAGGATCACCCCTCCCACATCCCTTTCTTTCCTGCACCATCCACCTCCCAGAGGAAGAGCTGGAGAGGAACCAGGGACCTGGGTTCTAGACCACTGGCCCACTGTTGTGTGAACCTGGCATGTCACGTCTCTGAGCCTCAGTTTCCCCAGTGTACAAGGAGGCCACCAGGCCAGAAAACCTCAGGCATTCATGTACCAATGGCATGATTTTTTCTTCTCACATGCCACCTATACTGTTCTGCTATTTCAGTAGTTATTTATTGAGCAGCTGCAACATACCAGTCTGTTCAGTGTTCTTTTTTTTTTTTGAGTTGGAGTCTCACTCTGTCACCCAGACTGGAGTGCAGTGGCCGCTCCCAGCCACCACAGCCTCGACCTGCTGGGCTCCGGCCATCCTTCCGCCTCAGCCTTCCAAGTAGCCGGAACTACAGGCGCGCACTACCACGCCTGGCTGCTTTTTGATTTATTGTCGAGATGAGGTCTCGCCAAGTTGCCCAGGCAGGTTGCGAACCTGCGGGCTCAGGCAATGTTCATTGTTCTTAAGCCTCCCTGCCTCTGCACAGCTCATATCCTAGCAGGGGAAGATAAACATTAAACAGCTTGTGGGGAGGAGGGGACCCTAACAAGACACATAGGTTGAAAGGGTAACAAATCCTGTGGGAGAAAACAAGGCAAAGGAGGGAAGGCTGAGTGCTGGGCATGGCGGGTGGCGAGAGTTGCACTTTTAAATATGGTGGTCAAGGTTGGCTTCATGGAGGAGGTGACATTTGCGTGGGTTCTTGAAGAAGTTGGGGACATTAACCAAGTGGATATTTGGGGAAAGGATACCCTAGGAGGGGCAAGGCCACAGAAAGGGCAGAAAGGCCTGTGTGGCCAGAATGGAGGGGGCATAGGGGACAGGAAGAGGGGTGAGTGATACAGTCAGAGCAGAGACAGGGGTGGGGGTGGGAGTGCGCAGATCACGTAGGCCCTTGTGGCCTGGTGCAGACTTTGGCTTTTACTGTGGCTGAGATGAAGAGCCATGTCAGGGTTTGGAGCAGAAAAATGACATGCTAGTGACCTAATGTTTTGCCAATTGGCTTTCTAAAAATACATTTATTTTGAAAGACAAAATTTAACCTCTCGATCGCAGATGGAAAATCAGCATCACATGTCATACATATAAAGCAATCACTAAAATAAACTCAGGGAAAACAAAACAATGCTATTAAGTTCTGGCTTCTCGAGTTTGGCTGCCCTGGGCCCCAAGCTTAGGCCTGGTCTCTCTTTGTTAAAAGGGAAGATTAGAAGTCTCAGAGAGGTGTGAAAGCCAGACTAGCACCCTACTGAGGGTTTCCCTTTGAAGTACCAGGAGGGGCGTCCATGGTTTTAGCACTGGGATTCCTGGGGTTTGATGTTCCCCTGAAGTCTGCAGCCCATCCCCCAGGGATCTCCCCCCAGGGCCTTCCTGCTGACTGTCTGCTGACCTCCCCTTCCCAACTCTGTGTCTTCTCCTGCAGTCCCTGTCCGAGTGCTGGAACTGAGCGAGAGCCACCCTGACAGCGGGGAGCAGACAGTCCGCTGTCGCGGCCGGGGCATGCCCCAGCCCCACGTCCTCTGGTCGGCTTGCAGGGACCTCCGAAGGTGAGCAGCCCCAGGGTGTGGGTCTCCTAGAGTGCTCACAGCCAGCCTTAAGGGCCCAGAGAAGGTTGTCCAGTCCCGCCCCTTCCTCTTGGCACCTTGCTGCAGGCTGGAGCACTGTCCTGGGGGCCGACCAGCACCTCCTTGGAGATGCTCTGCCCGGCATCTCTTTTCCCTGCTTGACCCCTGGGTTGTCCTCGGCTCCGTGCAGTGCAGGAGCTGTGCCTGAGATCAGCTCTGCACCCCTGGCCGGCTTCTCCTAGTGTTGTGGACAGAGGCAGGGTGGAGTTCAGGGTCTGCCTCCACCCTGGCACACTGTGTGCTCCTGGGGTCAGATGAGAGTAAGGGACTTTGCAGCCGGGGTTCTCAGTGCTGGGATGGGAGTGCCCCCTGCTGATCCATGGAGGGACCACAGGAGGAACCGACCCAATGGAGGGTGGTGGGAACTGGACACTCTTGGCCTCCCTCCAAGTGGCACTGCCTGCTTTGGGCCTCTGCTCCCCACCTGCGGGGGCAAGAGGCTGGAAGCCCACCTGACTGACTCCCCCACAGGTGTCCACTTGAGCTGCCGCCCACGCCGCTGGGGAACAATTCCCAGGAGGAACTGGAGACCAACATGACCTACTGGGAGGAGGAGCAGGAGTTCGAGGTGGTGAGCACCCTGCACCTGCGGCACGTGGACCGGCCCATGTCCGTGCGCTGCACCGTGCACAACGCCGCGGGCCAGGACACTCAGGAGGTCATCGTGGTGCCACACTGTGAGTCCCCTGGTCTGGCCGCCCCAGCAACCCCCAACCCCCACATCGACCCTGCTGAACTGGGGACCGTGCCTGTGCGCTCACAGTTGGTCAAGAGGGTCAGCAAGCCCACGGCAGACAGGAGTGTTGTGGGTCCCTCTGCAGTGTGCTCCTGTGTGGGTCCACTGCACACCCCATGGGCACATGTGTGTACAAACACATCTGTAAACCAGGGACATGATAGCACTGTCTTCGTATGTGTAGTGCATGTCAGCTGCATGTCTGTTGTCAGCCATGTTCATGCACTGCCTGATCCGTGAACACAGGTACAATCCCTATGTGTCGATTTTTTTTTTTTGAGTTGGAGTCTCACTCTGTCTCCCAGACTGGAGTGTAGTGGCACACTCCCAGTCACCGCAGCCCCGACCTACTGGCTTCCAGTGATCTTTCTACCCCAGCCTTCCAAGTAGCTGGAACTACAGGTGTGCGTCATCATGCCCGGCTACTTTTTGATTTATTGTAGAGATGCGGTCTCGCCAAATTGCTGAGGTGGGTCTCGAACCCGTGGGCTCAGGCAATCCACTTGCCTCAGCCTCCCAAAGTGCTGGGATTACAGGCTGAACCATCGAGCCCGGTTCCCCGTGTGTAGATTTGTAAACCGAGTGTGCCCAGTCCCCAGGCACCTGTAAAGCTCATGTCCATGGGCACACCCTGGAGTATGCAAGAGCATGGCCTGGAGCTACAGCCACAGGGCTGGACCAACTAGCAGGGCTGAGGGCTGTGAGGGCAGCCTGTCCATGTGTTTGTAAACCATGTGCGTGAGCATATGTGATCCCCAGACGTGTGTGCACACCCACAGTGTCTGTGTATCTGTGCATGTGGGTGCACAGCCCCATAGCTGGCATGACCACAGCTGTAAGCATGTCTAGGGGCGCATCTTCCTGGAAAAATGTGCAAGCCTAACCCCTTGTACACAGGCCTGTTGTGCTGTACCTTTCAGCTGGCAAGTGCACGTGCCATGTTGTTCTTGTGCTGGGAACAGTGTCTGGCGGGGCTGGGGTGCACCTGCATGCCTCCTCGCCACCCTGTTCCCTGGAGGCATGCACTCTGTTTACTTACCAGCTCCTTCACTCAGAAGATAGTTATGGGGACCCGAGTTCTCCCCAAATACATGGCCAAAGGGCCCTTGCTTGCCCTCCCAGGGCCCACAATCCAGAGCCAGAAGGCAGACCAGGAACTTAGCAGTCAACTTGGAGTCACCACTGTGGGGAGAAAGCCCAGAGAGAGAAGGGGCCCCATACCTAGCTGTGGGATTCAGGAAGATGTCCTAGGAAAGGGAACCTACAGGTGAAAACCTAGACAATGCCCAGGAGTGAGCCCAGGGAGGGATGGTGTGCCAGTCAGAGGGAAGGGCCCGTACACAAAACCCAGATGCAAAGTGGGCTCTAGAAATCGAAGGAATTCAACTCAGCCTGACTGGAGCATAGAGTATGTGCTATTTGGGGGCTGGGGGGAGAGGAAAGAGAAGGATGTGGAATGGGACTGGGTCCTGGGGGCAGTGGAGCCAAAGCCAGCAGGGCGCAAAGGCCACATGAGGGATTTGAACACTGTGTATACTCAAGCAGGTCCAGGGCAGGGGTATGCACGCCTGTTGAGACCTGCTGCCACCCCTGCCTTGTGCAGATGGACAGGACAATGCCCTTGTGTCATCTACACTCCCACGCGCACACACAGCTCTGCACAGATGGCCTCTGGGCAGCCAGTGTGCACTGCCTGAGCCACACCAGTTCTGGTGGGACTGAGGCCCGAGGGGAGCCATTGCTGCATCCGGGACTGGGCTGGCTGCATGGAGTCTCCTGAGCAGAGGTGGCATCCTTCCTAGGACCCAGATGCATCCAGTGGGAGAAGGAAAAGGAGAGAGTGACATCGGTCTGGGACCCTGAGGAAGAAGGGACAGGAAGGGAGAAGTAGGACAGGGGAGCAGAGGAGGGAAGCATGGGACAGAGGAGGAGGGACCCATTCCCAGGAGGCCTCACGGGTGGCCGGTGGGGCAGGCAGGGGAGTGCAGGTCTGGGGGCAAGAGTAGGGAAGGAAGGGAAGGTGTGCAGTCAAGGCCTGGGGTTAGCCTGACTTGCCTGGCCAGCCCCAGGGGGATGCACCTGAGAACTCCCATCCCTGGCCCAGCCTCAGCAGTCCTTGGGCTCAACCGGGAAAAGGCAGCCTTCTCTCTGCAGCCTGGGTCCACCAGGTGTGGGAGCTGTCCTTGCTCCTGTGTCACTCAGTCCATGGGCTCCTGGTCAGCATGAGACTTAAAGTCTGGCCCAGCTATGACAGCCCAACAAGGGTGTGGCTTCAGAAGAGTCCAGTCCCTGGGGCTCCCGGCGAGTGGGAGGCCAGGCCGTGGACAGGAACCCGAGAAGGATTCTGCACCTGGCCTGGAGCTACAGCCACAGGGCTGAACCCACCGGTGGGGCTGAAGACTGTGAGGGCAGCAGTGATGGAACTGGTTGTTCTGGCGGGGCCCGGGCTACTCCCAGGAGAGACTGGAGGTGTGGCCCAGCACAGGGGACTGAGGGCTGACATTACTGAGGGCTGAGGGCTGGATGGGGACAGAGCAATCGGTGAGTCCAGAGGTGAGTGGGAGAGTGGGAAGGAGCACAGGAGTGTCCGGTCTGCTCACAGCGAGCTTCTGCTCTGCCTCCAGCCCTGCCCTTCAAGGTGGTGGTGATCTCAGCCGTCCTAGCTCTGGTGGTCCTCACCATCGTCTCCCTCATCATCCTCATCATGCTTTGGCAGAAGGTAAGCTCCGCCTGGCCTCCTGGATGCAGAGGGACACACCATTATCTTGCACAGACCTCCCACCCCTTGAGTGCTGCGTGGTCCAGCCACATGTGGGCCCTGAGGGAGCTCAGGTGGGAACTCACTCAGAGGGATGCTGGGTGTCCAGGCCTGGCCCCAACTGTTCAGGATTCCTACTTCTGCTGTGTCCCGCAGTCTCCAGCCCTGCTCAGCCACCCTGGCTGGGGGACACAGACCTCCGGGTGGACTCTTCCGTCCTTACCCACAGGGCCCTGTGATGCTGACAATCCTGTTAGTCTCCTTTCAATGTCCTGTCTTGACATTCCACCGGGCTGGGTCCATGTTGGAGATTTCACATCCGGGCTGAAGCCCCTCATGTCTCTATCATTCTGGGAGTCCAGCCTTGGGCCTCCGGCACCCCATAGTTTCAACATTCTACGGTGCCCTCTTTCTTAGATTTTCACTATCACTAGCCCGGCATGGAGACTCTTACCTGCCTTCACTCTTCAAGGCCACCTGCTCCTCTATTCCCATCTGAGAAGAGCTGAAGCTCTGAGAGAAGCTGGGGGGAGGTTCCGATGACCAGGCCCTCGGCCATAGGCTGCTCCTCACCCCCTCTGCACCCTACCCAGTGGAGTCCTTGGCTCCTGTTCCCTTTGAGCCTGTGAAGGCCTTGGCTCAGCCGAGCACTTGCTGTGTGACTTCAGATATGCCCCTGTCCCTCTCTGGACCTCAGGATCTCTTGCCGTATCCATCTTAGAAGGGGCTGGACCTCACGGGTCTCAAAGCCAAAGGCCCCTTCTGACAACTCTTCCCCGGTCTTGGCTCTGCAGAAGCCACGCTATGAGATCCGGTGGAAGGTGATTGAGTCCGTGAGCTCGGATGGCCATGAGTACATCTACGTGGACCCCATGCAGCTGCCTTATGACTCCACATGGGAGCTGCCGCGGGACCAGCTGGTGCTGGGTCAGTCCTGGGAGGCCCCGCATGGCCGTCTGGAGGCCCAGGATGCGTGGGAAGACTGAGGCCTAGGGCTGGGCTTGCTTTCTCTGGCCCTCAGTTTCCCACTCTGTACAGTGAGGACTAGTGCAGAGGTCCTATGATTCTTTGGCTCTGCCCCTTTGTGGCAAGAGGAAGGACTGAGGATGGGCTGAGTACCAGGCTTGTGCTTGGTCTTGCTGGGGAAACTGAGGTAGTGTCAGGAGCTGTGTCGCCCTTGGGGGAGGAAGGCATCCAGGGACCAGTGATGGGGCTGAAAGCAGGCAGAACTCTGATGAGACACCACGAAGGACAGGACCAGGAAGCATGGTGGTGGTGGAAGTCTCTCTGGGGGGAATACCCTAAGTCCAAGTGGCTTAAGGACTGTCTAGGTTGACTTAAGAGATGGCTCTTCCCCATCCTTGGGTGGGAAGGGTGGGGGACACAGCATCTTCAGGGGTCTGGAACTGAGGGATCCTCTCTGCCCCAGGGCGCACCCTTGGCTCTGGGGCCTTTGGGCAGGTGGTGGAGGCCACAGCGCATGGCTTGAGCCATTCCCAGGCCACCATGAAGGTGGCCGTCAAGATGCTGAAATGTGAGTAGTCTTGGAGCCCGCTCCCTTCTTCCCCCCCCCCCGCCCACCCCACGTTTGGCCTCTCCCAGGCAGCCCAAGTCCCACTGAAGCCAGCAGCACTCTTGAGTCTGGTTTGGGAGAACAGCCTCCTCGCCCTGGCCTCTTGGCCCTGCCTCCTCCCACCCTCCTCCCCAAAGGGTGGGTCCTCACCACCCCTGGCCACCTGAGATCTCACAGTCAAGGGTGGGGCAGGAGATCCAGAAGAGGCCCCTGAGGCCCGCCTGGGCCCCCCTTCTCCTCAGCCACAGCCCGGAGCAGCGAGAAGCAGGCCCTCATGTCCGAGCTGAAGATCATGAGTCACCTCGGGCCCCATCTGAACGTGGTCAACCTGCTGGGGGCCTGCACCAAAGGAGGTACCGGACTGCTGCCCCAGGGCACTCTGGGCAGGGCCACCAGCCAAGGCCCAGCCCCTCCCACCCCTCCTCAGTCCCCGAGCCACAGGCACTCCAGCTGGAAGGTCCAGGCCTCCTCTTCCCTCTTCCCCCAAGCAGCCCAGCGCTCTCATTTCACAGTCCTGGGTGGGTGTGGGATTAAGAAACTCACACAGTCACAACATGTTCATGGCTGGAGGGCCCTTCAGGCCACCAGCCCCAGGGCTCCCAAGTCAAGATGTCCTTTGACACTTTTTATCTATTTATTTATTTTTTGAGTTGGCGTCTCACTGTGTCGCCCAGGCTGGAGTGCAGTGATACGCTCATGGCCACCCCAACATCGGCCTGCTGGGCTCCAGTGATCCATCCGCCTCAGCCTTCCAAGTAGCCAGAACTACAGGCACGTGCTACCATGCTTGGTTAATTTTTTTATTTGTTGTAGAGATGAGGTCTCACCAAGGTGCCCTGGCTGGTCTCAAACCCGCGAGCTCAGGCGATCCACTCCCCTTGGCCTCCCAAAGTGCTGGGATTCCAGGCTGAGCCACCGAGCCTGGCCCTTTAACACTTTTTAATGTCCACAATATATTTTGAAAACAAGCAATAGGTCATATGACACTGAGGTGAGTTCCATGTCCACCGCTGGAGACCCCCAACACGCTCTTGGGAGCTACCTCTATTCCAATTACAGCAAAGTCTCTTGGACCAACCGTGTTTATTTAAAGCACCGATTGCCGGTCAGGCTGCAAAAGAAAAAATAATGGCGATCACCATTTGTAGCTGTTTATGGTGAGATTTGGGATTTTCCTCAGTATTGTGCAATCAAAAAAAAAAATACAGAAGTACATTGTGTACACTGACTAGTTTAAGTCTGCAATGGTCACACATTTCAAAATCGTGTCCACGGGTATCTCCACGCTCCCACGGCCTGACGTTAGTGAGTGCGCTGCCTTTGAGTTTGACTGGCACCCTGACCCTAGAGTGGAGTGGCCTCTGTCTGCTCTGTGTGCTCGTTTGAGAATCGCCAGCCTGAGCTAGCCCACTGTGCTGGCCACATGGCAGGCCAGCAGGGCCGCATCTCTTATTAACCCTCATAGCCCTCAGGGGTGGGTGCCATTCGCCCCACTTAACAGGTGGGAAAGTGAGGCTCAGGGAGACCAGGCATCTGGCTTGCAGGCTCACAAGCAGGAAAAGACCCCTTTTGCAGGAGCCCAGGCCTCTCGGCCACCATGCCAAATGGCCCTCCATGTCCAGCCCCAAGGCCTCCCAGGGACCATCCCTGAGCCTGTCCCCCTGCAGGGCCCGTCTATATCATCACCGAATATTGCCGCTACGGGGACCTGGTGGACTACCTGCATCGCAACAAGCACACCTTCCTGCAGCGCCACCCCGATGCGCGTCGGCCGCCGCACGCAGAGCTCTATAGCAACGCGCTGCCCACTGGACTCCCCCTGCCCAGGTACTGGGAGGGAGGCCTGGGACCCAAATCCCTGGGGCACCCGGGAGCACCTGCTTGCACCCTCCTCATTCAGGAGGGGAAGCTGAGGCTGAGGGTGGGGGCAGAGATGCTTGGTGGGAAGGATGAGAGAGCCAAGGCCGTTCCCCCAGTCGGTCCATCCTAGACAAGAGAGTCACAGTATTGATGATCACGGACAGGGGGGAGGAGTGGACCCCCACTGCTGTCCCATGTGCCAGGCCCCATGCCGAGCCCTCACAACAGCCCTGTGCACAGGCGTCTTGCCTGTCTGGCCCAGGGCACACAGAGCAGAAGCCTCTCAGCCTTGGTGCTCTGAGCCCGCTGCCTCTGAAGCTCTGGTCCCCTCCACACCAGTCTTCCCACTCCCATCCTTTCCAGAAAGAGCATTTCTTTCTTTTGTTGTTGTTGTTGTTTTGAGTCGTGGTCTCACTTCAGGTTGAAGTGCTATGGCAAGATCACAGGCACAGTGCAGCCTCGACCTCCTGGGCTCAGATGATCCTTTCATCTTAGCCTCCTGTAGCTGGGATTACAAGCGTGCACCACCACGCTCAGCTAATTTTTTGTAGAGACGAAGTCTTGCTATGTTGCCCAGGTCTTGAACTCCTGGGCTCAAGCAATCCTCTCACCTTGGCCTCCCAAACAAAAGTACTGGGATTACGGGAGTGAGCCACCGCACCCAGCCACAAAGAGCATTTCTTAGTTCATTTGCTGACTGTGAAAGCAACTTCGGGAAAGCATATAAAAGACATCCCTCTGCCCTCCCCAGCGTTTTGATCAGTTTCCTGCCCATAGAGACATGTGGGTGCACATGCATGCACGGGCCCGCAGCTCTTTGGGGAGCTGGTGCTGCAGGCAGAGTATCAAGGCCATGGCTCCCTGCTGGGCCATGGCTCCCTGCTGGGCCATGGCTGGGACTCGCAGGGTGTGTGGCTGGGGTGCCGGGGAGTCTGCAGACAATCGCCTTCGCACACATCGGTCATATGAGCCTCGTCCTGGGGCGGCGGCGTCGCCTGTGGGGTGAACGCTCTGGGTCTGGTGCCGTCTTGGCAGTCCCAGCCAGGCCTGACAGAGTGGCTGAAAGGGCTCTCCGCCTGTGGTCATCTGTGTTGTGACGGACTGAGGAGGATGAAGGAGTGAGGGAGAGGAGAAGGCCCGAGCTGGGCCTCGTGGGCCCGGCGAGCAGGGCGGGGCGAGGGAAGCCTCAGCCACTCTTGCGACGTTCTCGCTTCCAGCCCCGTGTCCCCGACTGGGGAGAGCGACGGAGGCTACATGGACATGAGCCGGGATGAATCCATGGACTACGTGCCCATGCTGGACATGAAAGGAGACGTCAAGTACGCGGACATCGAGTCCTCCAACTACATGGCCCCCTACGACAACTACGTCCCCTCTGGTGGGTGGCCCCGGGGTCCTCACACCCACTGTGCGGTGATGCATCCTTTCCACAGCCTTTCACACTCCGGCCTTGTGGCAGTCCTGGGAGAAAGGGGGCCTCGTGCCCATTTCTGAGATTTGGAAACTGAGGACAGCCACCCGGCCAATGCTGTGGGTAGTGGAGCCCTGATCTAAAGCCCTGTGTATGGATTCTGCACCGCGCACACAGCCCGCAGGGAAGAGGGGTTGGGCTGGGAGCAGCCCTGGATCCTGGGGCCTGGGGAAAAAGTGGTCTGCTCAGAGCTGGCCCAGGATGATCTGTTGTTCCCAAGAAACAGGCAGGCCAGGCTGGGCAGAGGTGACCCAAGGACTAAAGATGCCGAAGTCTTTTTAGCGAGTGAGAGCACGCCAAACGAGGTGGGAGAGCTTTAAATTAGATGTGAGAAAATCCTTCTCTTTCCTAGAGGGTCAGTACTCCCTGTCTTGGGCATTTGGTCTCCTGGGAGCCAGAGGGCAGGGGTCCTGTAAGCCACGAGCAGGCACAGATAGCTGGTGACCCTCTGCTCTCCCTCAGCCCCCGAGAGGACCTACCGGGCCACTCTGATCAACGAGTCCCCCGTGCTCAGCTACATGGACCTCGTGGGCTTCAGCTACCAGGTGGCCAACGGCATGGAGTTCTTGGCCTCCAAGAATGTACGTGTAGTTGTGGCGGGCAGGGCGGAGCCTTGGGGAGGAGCATCACGACCACTCAGGTGGCGGGATGGAGCCCCCTCACACCTGGTGGCCCTCACACTTGGGCAGTGACACATTTCCCCAAAGCCCTTGACAGAGTGTCTGTCCCCACAATTGTCCTCAAGGCCTCTGCTCCCCTCTCCACCCACCCAGTGCGTCCACCGAGACCTGGCGGCCAGGAACGTGCTCATCTGTGAGGGCAAGCTGGCCAAGATCTGTGACTTCGGCCTGGCTCGAGATATCATGCGAGACTCGAACTACATCTCCAAGGGCAGCGTGAGTCCCTTCCCTGCCCCTTGGGACTGTCCCCGTGTGCCCTGGCCCGAGAAGCTGACTCCCTCTTGGTCAGCACGGCTGCAGCCCATGGGAGACCCCACTGTGTGCAGGGACAGGCAAGGCTTACCCAGCTGTGCATGGAGCCAGGGCGCAGCAGGGGCACGGTCGGCTGTCCTGGGCCTGGGGTGGGGGAGCAGGCCAGACGTGCTGTCCCAGGGGTGATGGGCAGGGCAAGAAGCCCAGGGGGAGGCAGGATGGATGAGCAGGCCACAGGCAGTCTTCGGGGATGGCCTGGTCAACCTCCAGCTCCCCAGAGGGGACGTGAGGCCCAGGGACCAAAGGCAGCCAGGATGAGAGCTGGGGGTGCTTGGCTTGTCCCTACTCCCCACCCCCTACTCAGGCCCTGGGGCTTTCCCCTGAGATGATGCCTGCACGTCCCTAGCCTCTGATCCTCGGGCCAGCACTGGGGGGTATATGGGAACCGTGCTGGGAGGAGATGGAGCCTCACGGGAGCAGGAGTGAGGGGAGGTGGTGGGGGAGACCCCAAGTGCGGCTTCGGCTAGGGTGCCAGCTGCTTGGGCCCTTGCCCTCAACACCTGTCCTGACGCCCCGCAGACATTCCTGCCCCTGAAGTGGATGGCTCCGGAGAGCATCTTCAACAGCCTCTATACCACGCTGAGCGATGTGTGGTCCTTTGGGATCTTGCTCTGGGAGATCTTCACGCTGGGTATGTGCCGCCTCTGCCCTGGCCACGCACGCCTCTGGCCCGTGGGGCCGCCTTTGCCCTGGCCATGCACACCTCTGGCCCGTGGGGCTGTGGGATGGGCCCAGGGGCAGGGGGCTCTGGTTCAAGTCCCAGCTCAGCTGTGCGACTTTGGCAAGTCCTTTGCCCTCTCTGGGTCTCTCTGTCTCCCCATCTGGGGATTGAGGAGCTGGGACAGTGACATCACAAAGCCTGCTTGGCCCCTGTGCTCTCCGGTTCTCTGTCCTGGGGAGGGTTGCAGTTTCTGCCCGGAACCCATGAAGGAACTCACATTTCCCAATGCCAGGGAATGTCCCCTCACCCACACCAGGGCCAGTGCACCTCTCCTCACCCTGTAGAAGAGGGCACCCAGAGCTTACACCTGCAATCCCAGCACTTCGGGAGACAGAGGCAGGAGGATTGCTTGAGGCCAGGCATTTGAGACCAGCCCGGGCAACATACTGAGACCCCATCTTTACAAAACATTTTTTAAAAGAAGCAGCAGGTCCTGCCACTGCTCTAGCCCCTAAGCCTGTTCCTCTTGTCTCTGTCTGGCAGGTGGCACCCCCTATCCGGAGCTGCCCATGAACGAGCAGTTCTACAACGCCATCAAGCGGGGCTACCGCATGGCCCAGCCTGCCCATGCCTCCGATGAGATGTGAGTGGGGCCTTACGCCTGCGGGAGGGTCTTGTGGGTGCAAACAATCGATACCCACTTTGACCGGCTCTAAGACAGAGATTTACTGACCAAGAGACTCGAACGCCTTAGTGTAACCAGGGATCCAGCAGTTCACAGGTTGCCAGCAGGAGCCTCAGGTTCTAGTCCTGGGCTCTGCAGTGCTCCCTGTAGCCTTGTTTTCTGGCTGGCGTACCCAAATGCTATCAGCAGTGCCCTCGAAAGTCCCAGAGCTGACTCTCTGGGGCTCGGGTGGAATCACAAGCCATCCAGAACCTGCTGCAGAGCTGAAGGGCGAACACTGTTGGCCAAGCCTGGGTCACATGCTCACCTGGGTATAGCCACCCAGGGAGCTGCGAGGATGGGGGTGCTGGGAGGGCTTCCCCAGGGAGTACCCAGAGGGAGAACAGGAAAACCACCCCCACACTCCCCCGCCCCCCAGCAGAAACCCTGACCCCCTCCCCTC